ACCCTTCTCCTGAGGCAGCCCAGGATACGGTTGGCTTTCTGGGCTGCCAGCACACACTGCCGGCTCATGTTCAGTTTTTCAGCCACCAGTACCCCCAAGTCCTTCTCCTCGGAGCTGCTCTCGATCCACTCTCCACCCAGCCTGTCCTTGTGCTTGGGATTGCCCCAACCCAGGTGCAGGACCTTGCACTTGGCCTTGTTGGACACCATGAGGTTGGCAGTGGCCCACCTCTCCAGCCTGTCCAGGTCCCTCTGGATGGCATCTCTTCCCTCCAGCGTGTCGACTGCACCACACAGCTTGGTGTCAGCAGCAAATTTGCTGAGGGTGCACTCAATCCTACCATCTTTGTCGCTGACAAAGATGTTAAACAACGTTGGTCCCAATACTGACCAGTGAGGAACGCCACTCATCACTGGTCTCCACTTGGACATTAAGCCACTGACCGCAACACTCTGAGTGTGGGCATCAAGACTGTTCCTTATCCACCAAGTGGTCCACCCATCAAATCCATGCCTCTCCAATTTAGAGACAAGAATGTCATGTGGGATGGTGTCGAATGCTTTGCAGAAGTCCAGGTAGATGACATCAGTTGCTCTTCCCCTATCCACACACCATAACCTTGTCACAGAAGGCCTCCAAGTTTGCCAGGGACAATTTGCTGTTGGTGAAGCCATGTTGGCTGTCACCAATCATTATTGCACATGTAAGCTTTTATGAAAGGAAAAATGGGGAGGAAGAAAATGCTACAATCCCAAAGGTAGCAGAAACTGTTAAGAACAACTATTAGCTACAAATACAGATGCTCTGTAATAGATATCAGTTACATTCCTTTTATCTGTCCTAGGAATGATGATTATTTTTTCTTCCACTAACATCAATGGCTTTCCCAATTATTTTCCTTTACTTCATTTTAAGAAAATATTTGTGGCTGCTACATTCAGGAATACCAAGAAGAGAGCTATTTATAAAGCATATTTATTAGAATTATATCACAGAGTTTGGGTGAAGGAATAATTTTTGCCAGAGGAGCAATTTCCTGAGGTCTAATAAAAACAGTAGTGCTTGATATTAAAGCTTAGTGTTTTGTATTCATAGTATGGTTATTTGATATAACCACAACAATGGACATCAGTCTTGTCTGTGAACAAGCATGTATTTTTAAAATAACAATGGAAAGAAAGCAGAGAAACCCTTCTACAGTCTTCCTATCCTGGTGGACAATATTTAAGCTAGTTGTAACTCTTGTTCAAAACCTTAGACTTGGATGCAAGGCATCATGCATTTAGAAACTGGAAATGTTTTTCACCGTATTGAAACTTCTAGTGAATGACATAATGAATAGCACTGTGACAGGAGAAATGACACACTGTCCTTTGGCAGCAATCTGGGTAAATTTACATCAAATATATTTAAGGAAGGAAGGGGGGAGAAATATTGCAGTCTATCATGAAAATGTGGCTTTTACATTTGTACACTCAATATAAAACAGCATATGACTCTACTGTTCTTCCTTCAACCCATTCAGTGATGTAAGATCAGCACTAAAAAGTATCCTGTATCTAAAAAAAGCCTCTCATGTCGTCTAGTATCAGTGCTTGCAGGACACAAAAATCGTCCTGAGCTTTCCTGAAAGAGCCATGAAGAGTCAGAAGCAGTGCCTGAGACATTTTTGTATCCACTTAATGCACACTCTTAGCTACCCTGCATACAAATTCGTAGCGGACTGATTAACAACTCAGCATGGTTCAAACCCACAATCTCTTCCAGAAGATGCTGTTCAGCTCCAGACAGTGATTTTTATTATTATCCTCACCATTTCACAGCCAACAGACAAATGCAGCTATATTGCTATTTTGGACCTACTACTGCCTTCATAGCTAGTGGTACTAGGGGAAACCCAGAAATATTCCATTACTGTTTTCAGAAATGCAACTCATGAGCTGTGTTTTAAATGAGAGTAGCAGTTAGACCTTCTATTTTTCATATGAAAATACATTTGTTGTAATTTCCTGATTAGGTGATATTTGATGCAAAATACATACCAAATAGCTAAAAAAAAGTCTTTTCGCTTTGCTATTCATAAGACAAACTCTAAGTTCTTCCCGCTCAAAACATCACCACTGCTGCGAAGCTCATATGTAACCATTTCTATTTACCATTTCTGCTGATACACAGAGATAGTGTCAGTGAGGCTAGGGGAGGGGTACCTGCACATACCTTCTGTCTGTAGGATACAGTTCCACAGTAATGACATCTAGAGAGTTCCATGCTGAGATGGTGAGGCCATTGTAGAGGCACAGCATACCTATCATCATGGATTCACTGGTCCCAAACCACAGGAAAAAACAGCTGATGCCAGAGAGAACCATGGAACCACCTAGGTAGGAGACAGGTGAAACAAACATAAAGTGGAAGTGTATTTAAAGAATGATCTTTGTTCAGTCTAATGTTTCTATTCACACAGTGAAACTAAATAACCAAACCATAAGTTTGAGTTAAAAACTAGAGACTGCCTCTGCTGCTAAGAACCATCAGGCAGACAAATGTCATAACGGGCTCATAGATAAAACCCGTAACTCCTCAGATATTAGGCTACATCATAAAGTATTAAGCTGGAAGCCCCTCTGAACTCCCAAAGCAACTGCCTGGGGACACTAACCCCAGTCTTCCTTGTTCATCACCTTCTGCAATTACATGAAACTCATTCATATATTGCAGCAATAAAAACATTGAGTGGAAATTGCATTTATATAGAGATACTCTCCTAGAAAATTAACACAGTGTTAATTTTCTAACCACATAGTTAGAATTGAATAGTTAAATTGAAAACAGATTTGTCATTGCAGATAATCTACAGGAGATGTCTTTCAACTGTGCTACTTTGTGAAATAGGTAACAGGCAAAGGACTGCTGACTCTTCGAGGATCTGCTCCACTAGCTGAGAGTCACCTGTGCACATCTCACTTTCAGTTGGAGTGAAGACAATGCAATGGTCAGCACTCTCCAAAATCTCATCCCAAATGCCTAAATAATGGTCTTGTAATATCAAATGTAAAAGCAATGACAGGTAACGTGGCCTAGCAGAACTGGCCATGGAATGCTTTGTTCCTGGAGTTTCTAAATTGTGCTGTTTAAAACAGCACTTATGATGTCGCATAAATGAAGTATCTGCAGAAGGAATGTTTTGCATCTCTCTGAACCAAATCCTTCAAAAAAAGAACAGGTAACTGTATCAGGAGAGCTTTAGGTTTTGGTGCTGTTCCTTGTCTTAAAGTGAAGATCCTACCTAGCATCGTTAACCGTCCAATTCTATCCATCAGGAGAGCAGACACAATATTCCCTGGTAACACTGCCAAAGTTCCCAGGAAATTAACAAAGTAAATCCAGTAGGCACTGTAGTCGTCATCGAAAGAAATCTGGCATCCTGTCCTGATGTGGAAAAATGTGCAATTTATCAATTCGCTGTCAACAAATTTATATTGCTCAAGATCTGTGGAAAGAAGAAAAAGAAACATATCAGCTAACAGCTGACTCCATGTGCAGCTTTTGATTAAAAGCATTTCAAGTTTAGGCAACCTTAATGACAATTCGGAGCTTTCACTCCTTCGTGTAATGGGACTGTTATTGCTGTTACTTTTGGTACCTTTTTGTCTTAACAGAAAAATATGCAAAGCTCATGAAAACGAGCAACTAAGGCCTGGAATTAGGCAAGTTATATTAATACACTTCAGGTTTTCTTGGGCTGTATTTGGTTAAGGCCTTTGAGCACCAACCAGTCTCAGAAGAAAATCACTGGGCATCTGCAAACTTTTATCACTTGGTCATGCTCAGTATCAGATATTTTATTTCCACACCAGAAAGCCTTTAAGATGAGACTGCCGATCATGCTCAGTTTGGTTTGAGTTCTTTTAAAGTGAAACATTCCTACAGAATTCAGATTAAACTAATTTTCACTTCTGAGAAAGCCCTGTGGTCTTCAGCTAAAATGTGGATGAGTTACTTCATGCCACCATTTAGGCCATTCTTCTTCCAACACTATTTTGGAGATCTCTCCCTATACTTCCACTTTCTTTCTGTTCCTCCTGTCAGTCTTATAACCCTGAATCAAGAATACCTTTTCCTTCCATTCAAAGACAGTGGGGTGGAGTGTGCTCTGAAACCTTACTCTATTACTGACTGTTGGAAAACAGGAAAAGTGGTACAGAAGTGCCCCATCTTTCCAACAAGTTTAGTTGGCTATGTTTTATTAAACTGAAAAAAAATAGAACAGCCCCCTGTTTAAACATAGGAAAATACACATTCTTATTTTTTTAGAATAATTAGGAGAGTGGAAATAATTATGGATTATGTAGTTTGAATCCTGAACTCAGACTCCCATGCCACAGCAAGCACAATGAACAAAGTATTTCACCAGTGCCATTTAGACTAAATAAATATACAGTAGTTAAAGCTACCAGTAAAGCAGTAAATATGTTTTCTCCTCCCCAGACTGCATCTCTTTAGAAATGATTAAAATCAAAGAGATGTTTATTATCTCAGTCAATATTAGGCCTGCGGTGTGTGGGTGTAATCCTTTCACTTCTCTGTTGCAACATTAAGGAGGCCTTAATGTTGATTTTTTATAGCTTTATAATCCCTACGAGATAGATTCTTCTACAGCATATTGGAAATCCAGAAATTATAAACAAAACCTGAGAACATGCAGCTGAACAGTGGATGTTCAGGGTTTTTTCTTGTAATACCTGTGTTGTAGAAGGTGGTATTCATGAAAGTACAGTTCCTGAAGTATGTGTTCAGTGAAGTAATATCTTCAAAAACACAGTTCTTAAAAAGGGAATCTTCAAAGGTTACTGATTTAAATTTCATCATAACAAACCTGCCCAATACAAATAATTTCTGTTAGTCTACCTTCATAGGCCAGAAGGAGCAACAGGTCAAGCCAATGAGCTATACAGTTCTACAAAGTCTCAACACCAGAAACTGTGATCCCTTAAAGGTATTCTGGAAACGTAATTAATGATTAGCTGATTCTAGAATACTATAATTCAGAAAAAGTATTAATAAGACAAATAGCTCCACAATAGCTACAGACCACAACTGGTAATACAATTTCTTTCATAATATTTCTGTTATTATTTGTCCGTAATCATCAAACAAATCAAAGTCAGGACATTTATAGAATAGCCTTGTAAAATCACAATTACTTGTAATTTGACATTACAGTCAGAAACTGGGAGATCATGGTCCAGAAACTCAGTGTCTTGGAACAAACAAGCTCCTGCTGGTACCAACAAGCTGCAAAGGAAGAATTTTTTAAAGAACATTTATTTCTCCAGATGAACACACTGGGCACTCTGTCAGGCTCAAATGCAAAACATACCGGTCCAAGTGCTAAAAAATGGTCTTGAAAAATGGTTTAACAAGAACACAACAGTTATATACAACTAGATATCTAACTGGAAGTATGTGTTTGTTACTTCGGTGTTTGTAGATGCAACTGCAACAACCGTGTACATAAAACTGTAATAAACAAATGTCAGTAGCTTTTCTTATTCTGAACATTCTCTTTGATACTGACTCTCATTTAACTCCTAGATCTTTGATCATGAGTGTCAATCAAGTCATTAATAGAAAAAGACAATCACAATGTGTATTACTAGCAGTAACTTTCTACCTCAATGTTACTAGACTAAAACAATCCTATAAGCTTTTTTTTGTGATATTCTACCAAATAACATTATCATGCTAACAAATAAAAAAAGACAGATATAGCAATACATCATTATTTTTAGATGTCTTTTATTTCACATGAAGGTGTGGAAAAAACTACAACTAAAATAAGGCAGTTCTGCTGGCAGACTTCATCCAAAGTAACAACAGTTTGAAAAGCAGTGCTTTAACTGTTATGTAGCAGTAAAAACTGTTAAAATGGCAAACCCTTCTGAACACAGGTCTGGCTCTGCTCTAATTAAAGCCTGTGCGACCAGCTAAGTATTTTTCTTATTACAAGACATAGTAGGAATAGGAACACACAAAATATGCTACCTACAAAACAGTAGGAATTAAACTCTCTTGTGAATACAGTTGTTGGAATCACAGCTTTATGAGCAGGGAAAGCAAAAGTTAATTGTGTTTATCACAGGGGAAGACTTACTAGCTAATTAATTTTCTATGTATTGGTCAGAAGAATGGTGTTTTCAGCCCATTAGTTTTAGTTACTGTATCCTTTATCATTTGTGACAGACACTGATTAAAATCAGGCTGGTGCTCAGCGTCAAGTCATTATCATTTTTCATATAGAACTTTCAATTTTAAAATTTAGCCTAATTCCAGCAGAGAACAAAGAAAGTTTAGCAATTAGATTAGTCAGTTGGAACAGAAATGACAGACTACATGTCCTACATTCTTCTGATGCACATTTTACCTTTGGAAAGGAAACATGTTGTGACTATATTAAAACCAGTGTTGCGATGATTTGAATTAAAACTCAACAGAAATACAAAGAAGAAAAAGTCAAGTACTGATGGATCTTCTAGTTAAGAATGAACATGAAGGAAACACTGCACGCTTGTGGAGGAAGAATTTCGAATGAGTTCACTCTTCCATTGAAAATGTTGTGTGAATCTCAAATAACCATCAGAGGTCTATTAAATTTGCACATTTGAAAGAGTAAATTAGTGGCTTAAAGTACAAGAATGTTTAGTGTTTTACAAGCATTTTCAGTTCAAATCAATAACACCTTGGTTGACAGCGTGTGTCAGCTACAGACAATGAATGATTCTTTGCTTTTAGGAGAACGTCTACAACCTGGAAAGGAGGGGAACTAGGAAGCAATGGCTAGTTTAAAAATGAGATAACTGCTATTTTATGTCTGTAAAGCATAAATCTTTAACAGTGTCAAACCTCAAGTTCTTATAAAAATAATTTTAAAAGCCCCATATTACCAAATTCATTAATTTTCTTCACTTAGATATAGATTTTCCTATGTAAATAAAAATTACTTAGCACCATGACATCCGGGAGACCACGATTGTTCTGTATGTTCCTTAAGAGAAACCAGATACCTAAACCAGCTGGGTTCAATTTTCTCTTAAGTTATCTAGTTTTCTGTAAAGCTCAGACAGAACCTACATACGTTTGGATGCAGTTAAAAAACAAAAAAGGCACTGCCAATATGTTGTTTCTCGTTTCAGAGATGTTCATACTTTTTATTGATTTATTGTAACGTTCAGCTTTTATTTTCCTGTCATAAGATCCTAATCTCTCAATGTTTAGTGTTTTCTCAGAAGCGTCTTTCAAGCATATAAGAAAAGAACCAGCAGCAGAGACAAAAGTATGCCCTTCCTTCCCCAGCCCTCTACAATGTGCTGCATATGTTGAGTCTGAAAACCTTTGAATCCCACCAGGAAAGGAAGTATTAAATTAGGCTTTTTGGTCTGCTTTTCTGGATGACAAAGAAGCTGGGTTTGCATGGGGGATCCTCACAAAGGAACCACTAGGGCATGTACAAGTCCACTTTTCCTCATGCTCTGCGAGTCATAAGAAATCAAGAACAGAAATAAATTCCCATTAAAAAGTAACAAAACCATCTTACCATTAGATAATAGAGAAAAATATTAGATTATTAGGACATGCTTTAAAACATGCATTTATTTATTCTAGCCAAGTCAGGATATTAGAAAATATCTAAACCTGTCGTTGATGTATTCTCCATTGCTGTGAATCTGATTTTCCAGTGTGAAGTTGAAGACGAAATGAGAAACCTCCTCATTGTGGAAATGTTTCACTCGGGATGCATACTCGTCTGACTGCAGATGTTTAATGACATCAGGAAACCAGACAGATAAACCGTAGTAGCTGTGAAAAACAGAAAAAGCTCAGTTGCCAACCTCACTTGTTCAGAAATCTGTGTGAGGTGAGGATGAGCAGCTCCCTCAGCCGCTGATGTGATGGAGCAGTTGCTCCATCATAAAAAATTCTTCCATAAAATACAAATATTGAAAGATGCTGAGCCCAGAAGACACTCGTTTTCTGAAGCAGATAGTCTTGATGAGTCAGGCTTGCAACCACGAAAAAACTAACTGAAAAATACATTTTGTGGAAAGATACTAAATAAAACCTTTCCAAATAAAAAGAATAATCACAGTGATAGAGATTTGCATGCAGAAGATTTTTCTGTCTGTCAAGTCTATCAAAAATGGTTTAAGATCTCAATCATTCTTACCCAAAAGACAGGGTGAACCATACAGCTGTAAGTTTGACTGTATTATCCTTCACAGGGTAGTTGAAGCATCTCATAAACGTCAACCAAATCTGTAAATCATTAGGAAATACATTTATTTTAAATTATACTTTGAACAACTTTGTTAAATGATAGAAACTTTTTGATTGTGATTTGTTTGTTTCTTCAGGGCAAGAGAGAGAGGAGATCAACTCTTTGATACTGGCCATAGCTGTCCTTCTCATACAAGTATGTTAATCTCCAGCTATAGCCAGGTTGTTCATGTTCTGTGACTTTCCAGCTTCTTTTCATAGAATGGTTTGGGTTGGAAGGGACCTTTAAATATCATTTAGCTTAATCCCACTGTGGTTAGCAGGGACATCTACACTAGATCAGGTTGCTCAAAGCCCCATCCAATCTGACCTTAAAGATCACCATGAAGGGGGCATTCACAACTTCTCTGGGCAACCTGTTCCAGTTCCTCACCACCCTCTCCATGAAGAATTTCTTTCTTACAGCCAATCTAAATCTACCAGCTTTCTGTTTAAACTGTAATCTCTTCTCCTGTCACTACAGCCCTTGGTAATAAGTCTCTGTACACCTTTTTTATAAGCCCCTTTAAGTATCAAAAGGCTGCTGTCCTCAGAGCCTTCTCTTCTCCAGGCTGAAAAAGCTCAACTTTCTCATACTTTCCTCTTAGTAGAAGTGTTCCATCCCTCTGATCATTTTAGTGGCCCTTGTCTGGACTCGTTCCAACAGGTCCATGCCTGTCTTGTACTGAGGACTCCAAAGGCGAACACAGTATGCCAGGTGGGGTCTCACCAGAGTGAAGTAGATGGGGAGAATCACCTGCCTTGAATTTCTGGCCACTTTTTATGCAGACCAGGGTATGATTGGCTTTCTGGCCTGCCAGCGCACATTGCCAGTTCTTATCAAAGTTTTTATCCACCAGTCTGGACTATGTCCATTAATTCCCATTTGCTCTGATCAGAGGGAGTCTGTCCTAAGAAGTTTCAGCTCACATCATGCAACAAGGAAGATGCTCTGACCCACAGCCTAGTCCAGTGAGATAACAAGGATGTGAGAGAATCAAGCTGCAGCTCGTTAAAAGCTGGTTTAATAACAAGGCCAGATCATAACAATTCAATATTAAGCTACTCCATTTTTGGATAACTACAAAAGTAGGCACTTTCTCGATTTTCCTTTTGTTGTGTAAAATGTCATTTTCCCAAGCAAAGGAATTTTGTGAGAAACCTTGGTCTACAACACTTCATCACAACTCTGGAGAGCTTTAGGATGCCAGGCTTTTAACAGCTGTGAAAAGCTACTATTTATTTATTTATTTTAAATTAATTAGTCTTTCCTCAATTTTCATTACAAGGTTCAAAGATACTGCATAATTTCAGCTTTGCAAAAAAGTAGAAAAGGATACAGAGCACAGTCCCAATGAGCTTGTATTAAACTCTCTGAAATAGCTCTAACATAGTTTTCTGGTAAAACATTTGGCGTGACTAAAAATAAATGCAGATGCCATGTCTTTGAAAGGTTTTATTTGCATTCATTTACATAATTTATTTGTGACTTTACCATTTGTAAATTATGTGGCTGCTTCAAGTTCCTACTGATAATTTTTCATCTCACCATGTGTCATCTCTTTCTATAGGTACATTGATACGCATTTCCAGTACATAATATATTGTGGTGCTTAGGAATATGGCTATGCAACTATTAACCATCACTGATGTGAAGGCCAACGCAGTGTTTTCCTCCTCAGAAGCTGAGATCAAACTCTGTGATTCACCCGCACCTCTTCTGGGTCAGGAAACCAGAACCTTATACCAGTTCCTGAATCTCCCAGATACATGGAAAATGTAGCATTGCAGCTATCACCTCATTGCAGCATGACCTCAATCAATACATCCAATTTCTGAAGGCTAATTAAAAAGACAAAAGGTAATTACAGAACAAACAGAGATGTTGTTACTTACACTATAGAGCTCTGTGCGAATTCTAACAAAACACCTCCTGTACCAAGTTCCTGTATCACTCTCTATTTCTATGAGCTCGTCTATCTGCTTTGGAGTTTTGATTCTATTAACCTAGAAACAAAAACAGAACAGCAAATACTTGGATTTTCTTGGAACATTAACTGCCTGTCGAGGAGCATTGGAAAGTTTTAATAAATCCCATAAACTAAAAAAGAGCAGATATTAAACCTGTGTCTACACTAGAAATGCTTTAGAAATAGTAGCACACTATAATGCCAGACTTAAATATGAATGCAACTGTATTGGAAAACCTCTACTTTCAAAGCATGCAGGAAATTCATTTCCTCTGACTGAAACAAGCTGTTCCTGTCAGGTTCTGCTGGAGTGTTGCTGTATGTACCACTAATGCCACAAAGGATAAAATGTTATTTAAACCCTCAGTTAACCATGTCCAGAGCTTGCTATCCATTTTTTTCTGACTTTCTATCAGTACATTGTTGAAAGTCTATTCATTGAAGATACAATAATAAGGATAGAAGTATTTGAAATGTCAAGAATTAATAGTTGAATAACATTTTTCTTTTGTTCTTATTTCCTGTAGTGTTAGACAGGGAACTCTCGCTTTTGGATGTTGACTTTAACTATCCTTTTTAATGAAGAGAGAAAACATTAGGTGAAATGATCTGGAACCATGAATGTTATTGCTGTTACAAGCAATCATGTACTTCATCTGAAGTGAAATGAGATAAACAGACATCAGGGAAAAATACAGAATTACCAGTGACAGAGAATGTGATGTTGCCTACAATGCTAGTTTTCACTTGCACTCTCCTGTGCAGCAGAACAAGAATGTGCTATATGGTCTTTCCAGACACAGGACCTGACAATCTTATACCACTGTTTGGTTTTGGTTTTGGCTTTGGCTCTGGTCCCAGGTTCATAGCGGTATCACAGAAGACAGTGTATTCATCCACAGGTGATTTAAAAAAAAGATAAATAGAGAATGGAACAAAATAAATAAAATGAGGAAAGGGACTGACATATAAGGGGAGAGTGACAGATTCAGTGTTCAATGTTTAGCTGCAGTTTCTGAAGGTAGCAGTAGCTTGTGTTTCTTCTTAACAGAATTAGGACACCACCACCCACTGATTTATCACAGTGGATTACAGGACATCAGGGAGTATCAGTATTGATGGTAAAGCTCTAGTTTTCAGCCCAGTGCTATTACAGATGTATGCTGTTTAAGATGCACTAGCAGCCTCACACCATGAACAAAAACAAACAAAAGCCCACTAAGCAGTTTTAGCTATAACCACCCTTATTTTGGAAATGCTGCAGCTCACTGTCTTGTCAAACTATGACAATATCAAAAGGCTGTACATTTCTTGTCATGCCTCTTCCAATAGCAATAATCCTGTCTGCATTGTTCCATTGATTTTAAGCTTTTTTCAAACTGCTTTTATGAAACGTGTTACACAAAAGACTGAGTTGAGTCTTCCAAGATTATTTAAGACCTCATATACACAAACATCCTCACATGCCACACCTCTGGGCAGAAAAGGCATGTGTTTTGATTCACGCTGTATAAGCCAGTACCACTTTTATAGGCTGAAGGGCAGGTTTTTTCACTGTCCTGGCCACCTGGCTCGTTTTGAGCTGTGGAGGTTGAGGGAAACATATATATGTATTTCCTAGGACCACTGTATGAGACTGATGACAAAATTCCCCCCCGGCCTTGATAGTTCTTTAACATAAGAAAAGTCCTATTGAATCAGGACAATGGTCCATCTGGACTATGCAAATTCAGCTGTCAGTATATGAAGAATGAAAGAAAAAACAATAAAGAATACCTATTTTAATGAAAATGGAACTTCTGCTTAAAAGAAATGGCTAAAATATGCAATGTTTTAAATTTACAAATGAAGACATGCTGCAAAAGAAATTGCTTGCAGAAAGAAGATTAATTAATACATAACAATGAAAGAGTAGAGAAAATTTTGGTTTTAATGATACAAAGATTTTTTTTTTTTATTTAAACATTTAAACCAATGGATCTAATAGATGTATGTTTTTAAGGACCCAGGAAGGTAATTAAGCAGGCACATAAACATTTAATTTGGGTAGTCCTACAATAGAATAACTTACTACCATCTCTGTTAGTGTCACTTCTCTCAGGAGAGATTTTCAAACATATTAAGAGCCACCACTTCCACAGTCAGTAATTAAAATACATACATTTTGGAATTCCTAACAAAGAAATCAACTGTTCTTCAGTTGATGCCTTCAGTTGATGCCAATGGTTTGATAATAAAATCCTCAATAATGTGAGTAACAAGAATGAACATGACGTGTGAAAAAAGCTTCTAGGAAAAGATGACACCAATATAATCAGGAAAACATAGGAAAGAAAAGCATACTAAAACTATTGCAGTAAGGGAGACAAAGTTACATCAGTTATAGAGCTAGAAAACATATTGCCAAAGTGTATCTGATGTAACTACTGACATGAAGTGAAGCAAAATAGTAATGCGTAAGTCATAGAATGGTACTGGATAAAGCAGTACTGGATGAAGCAACAGGGTTTAGGAGAGCTGTGTGAATAAATAACCGAAACAAAATGTCACAATATCCAGGATTAACTTATATTAAAAAAAAAAAAAAGAGAAAAATTAAAAGGATGTTCCAGACAAATTCTGCATAAGTACTTTGCTTTCTGGGTTTCCTAAGATGAAGTACTGATACTGTCCAATAAGGAGGCAATGATGCATTTTCTAATCATATTAATGCAAGCTAAAAATAGGGATTTCTATACATGTGTAACCTTGACATACAGTACAGTATTTCTAATCCTTCAGCTCCTCAGTATCTGGAGTTGAGTTTTCCTAACGTTCATGGCTAACACTGGCAAAAATCCCAAGAAAGTGGTTTTTTTCCCTTATACATGCCTGACTAATTAATGAAAATAGCTATAAATGGAATGCTGAGTTCAACATGGTTCAGTGTCACATTCTAACAACCATAGAGAGAAAGACCTATTAGACCACAAGAACTGGAAACAAGAAGAATGTGCTTTGTTTTCTTCTCCACAGCTGCTTGAGGACATGATTATGATTATGTCAAACTGATGTGAGACTGTGGCTGATCCTTCCTCCCACCTTTTGTCCCAGCACATTTCTGTCTTCTTCCTCGTGCCTAAACTAACACTTCTGGGAGACAGGCTCTGTGCTATGGCTGAGTGTGCAATCAGTCAATGAATACCAACAACGGCAGAAGGAAAACAAAGAGTGACTGGGGTCAGGCATACTCTGTCTGAAAGCAGCTCAGATCAGCAAGAGCCAATTCTGAAATTACACCCTAGCTGCATGGTATTAGGAAAATCCCATTACATGTAAATGAAATCAGAAAACAAAATATTAGGTTAGATGGGTTTAGAGGTAGGTCACCAGTGTATCAATAAATGCGGATTTAACATAATAAATACGCTATCCAACCTTCTTTCAGGCTAAATGTAGGAGTTCTTGAGCTCCTTCTTGGAAAAAAATTAAATAGATGCAACAGAAACTACATCCGAGGCAATAAACTGCAAGTCTCAGTGGAATAAACCTACATGGTCAGATGGTCATTCCTTGAGACTGCCTGCAAATGCAGAAGCTTTAAGAGGATTCCTTAACTGAGTTATATGTGCATTAAAGTAAGAAGAAAGCCTCTGGAAGAGGAAAAACATGCCACACATGGCCCTAAGAGAGAACAGAGTTCCAGCACTCCCACAGCACAGCACAAGCTGGAAAGGCAGACTGGATTTCAAAGCAATAAAATGCCTCCTGCTGTTTTGTCCTACTGTATCCAGGAAGACAAAATTGCTGTGCATGTTATTCCTAAATAAGGAAGATGCCATTAAAAAGTCCCAAATCTAAAATGACAATTTCTTGTCCAAATAGAAACAACGCATCAATACTTTGAATATGGCCTTATCCTTAGACCTGCAAGTCAACAAGATGCAGTTGAGCTTCCAAGATATTTTGAGGAAATTAAATGTCTGAAATGACTATTTCACAAAAGTGAAAATTACTTTTTAAAAATTATTATTTTAGCTGACAAAAATGAAAAAAAAAATTAAAAGCTTAAAGACACAACAGACAACTAATCTGGACTTCTGTGTACCTACTGTTATTTTTAAGTGGGAAGTAAACTCAAGAAATAAAGCACAGATGGATTCTATTAAATATCTCGGTACTCCAGAGAAAATTATCACACTGTGGGTACCTATGCGCAAGACTATGGTGGCCAAAGGCTGACATCTTAACATCTGCTGTATATAGAATAATTTTGGTGGAAATTTGGTTCTTATATTTATTTATTTAGAGTGCCTTGTCATGAGCATATTAATATTGATTGCTTAAGCCCTCCAGACGTTTCCAGTCAGCAAGCTCGTTGACGTGCTAAGTGATTAGCTTTAAAAGCAATACTCACCGTGAAGACCTTCTCAGGCTGACCACGAGCTCGCATATTTGTGTCATGAATTTGCTTGAGTATCATCCAAGCTTCGTCATGTTTTCCAACCTAAAAGTTCGACCAAAACATTTAGGCAAAGCGTACATACAGATTAAGATATTCACTACAGTCACTGAACAATCTTAATGCCTGTTATATAGAAGACATGATGTAAACACAGAAATGGTTTTGACTGGAATCTAAAAACTGTTTTGAAAATTATACCTCCAGCAAGAACCGTGGGCTTTCTGGCATAAAAGTGAGGGCTACCACGGAAGAGACACAAGGCAGTGCGCAGACGATCACAAATACTCGCCAGCTGTGGAACTGGTAGGCAGAGCCCATGCTGAAACTCCATCCTGTGAAAGCAGAAATTCACAAAATGTAGAGAAATAAGGAGTATTGTACATGAGAATCTGCAGCTTCTTGGAGATGCAAAATTATAACTGTATTTAAATGAAGCCTGATTGATCTCTTCTATTTCCACAAATATTGATGGTTTCACAAAAAATCTTACATTATGAATTTCAGTCTCCTGCATGTGACTAGCCATGCTGGAAAATGCCTGTATTATGCAGAGTGTGAGACCCTCATGCCATGATGAAGGCAGCTCTTTCAAGTCTCTCTGCAAAATTTGCATGAAGGTAACTGTGTGAACCAAACAGGGATGCCATCGCCATACATAAGAATACATACACAACAAAATAGTTTTCTGTGAATACCGGAAGAAGGGAGAATTAAAAATCTACACTCTGATATACTTCATGGAAGTTTACAACCTTCTTAATTATTATTAGTTTTTTCTACAAAGAGTTAATTTCAATACTCAATATAAGTCTCCTAATGTAATAGTGCAACACATGAAACATTTACAGTGCCTAACTTCTGTTTCAGTCTTCTTTCAGAGCACTATTCCACTCCTTAAATTCTGTTAAAAGTCAACTGACACTCATCCCTCCTGCCCCATAACTAGACGTATAGGAAAATTTAAACTATTTAAACTTCTATCTGAGACAAGCAAGCTTAAAACTGAAGTAGAGAGGCAATTTGTGGTTATATAAAGAGATTAAGAAAAAAGAACAAGGTGAAAACAACTCTCCTCATCTGAAAAACTGATTTTGAGATACATCTGTGTGCTGACTAATAACATGCTTTAGAAGCCATTGTTAAAATATACTGAGAAGAACAGAAAAGGAAATACTGAAAAACTGTATGTTAACCTTCAGGGCTGGTAGTTCAGCTTTTCAATAAAATATTTTATTGTTTGGTATATTATGACCGAACTACTGAAATGCTAGGAATGTAAGAAACGTAAGAATTTGTCTTAAGAGAGAGAAAAATATTATTTGGGGAACTATCTGGCCTTTTAATCTGGCTTCGATAAAGCAGAAATTTTAAAGTAAAAGTTTCAAGGATACCTTATTAAAAGATGAGTAGAAGATAAGAATAACGATAAGGGACAGAAGAGGTTACTGGAAGAAAATGGAACCCTGGCTAATGAAATAGCTGATGCTGGTTTAATCTGATATATTTCTTTGCTAGCCAATTTTTTCTAGACAAAAGACATAGTTAATTAAATCTGTCTGGATGTTGGTAAACAACTGGTACAACATGATACTATATGGCCTATTAAATAATTCTTCAAATGAGTTATTTATCTGTTAAATATATAGTGTATTTTGGAATGTAAAGATCTCATTCAGTGGATCATAAATACATTCCTGGAAAAAAAAAAAACGTCTAATCTTAAAATACTTACATGTTACCACACGAAAAATACAGTCAACCCATGATTTATTTTTGCCCTTTATCAACAGCCAGTGAAACATTTTGATCAGCAGACTTGGGAACCTGCTTTTTCTGGTCTTCTACAAACCTGTCTTTCTGAAAAGGTATCAGCTTGCTCTACAGCCTCATTAACCTTGCCGCCTTTATCCCAGGAAGCCAGAGGTAAAATCAGTGACATTGTTGGCAATGATCTTGGAATGCTTTTAAGTAAGGCTCCAGATGAAATACCTTCCTTCTCCAAATTTCCCTCCAACAAAACAATGCTAATATTTAATGTTAAACTTTATTCCAATATAAAACTTGGAATTGAAATTTAATATTACAAAATACAAACAAAAAAGCATGTAAAAGTGTATTAAAGTTTACCTTTTAATGATTTTTGGAAAATGTCAACTTTTGATCTTATGGAATTTCAAATCTTAAATAATATGGTCCTACTTTACATCTAAATTGGGAAGGGAAGGAAATAAAGAAGGAAAGGTTTACCATGAGAAAATGAGGCAATTAGATATCATACCTGTGTTTTGGATATTGTGTACACATCCTACTGTAATTATTAGAATCATATTCTTCATTATATGTTCTAAACTATAGTAAAGAATCACCTGATACAGAACTCACATAATTTACCTTTTGGTTAAGTTAATTTTTTGTCAGAGCAGCGAGCGGATCTGACTCGCTGGGCAGCCATGCAACAGCTAGTGTCACAGGAAGGGTGGTAGATGGGAGTTTTCATCTCTCAGAACAGCATGGTCAAGGTACTTGCTCGTGTTGTCGTAAGAAACTGTCGCAGAAATACACAGAGCCACTGGTATATTTAGACAATCTACCTTTCATCGCTCTGGTTTATGTTTTATGAGATTGAGACGCGTAAAGGGCACTTCTGTGGTAAATGAAATCAGCCTGGCTTTATACCTGTTATGAAACAACAGCAACATCTTGTGCTCTGTAGCCAGTCCTGGAAAAGTCTGGTGAGAATTTATTTTAAGGTGTTATTTATTAATGTAAGTGAATCATACTAAACTTAATTAAAGCAATGAGTGCACCATTCATCCTGCTGTCAACCTGACAATCTGCAAAACATCTTTTTTACTCCTGAAAATATCTGCGAGCCATGTCAAGTGAAATGTTCACTGTGGTTTGTATTGCTCTTTATCTTGTGCTTTAAGATACCTGCTGAATTAATGATAACAGTGAACTTCAGGATTATAAGAATCACTTGGGAGGAAAAAAGCCAGGTGTAACACAGCTTTCTTGAGGCTGCTTTCCTGTCTATTCCAGCACCAGCACTAGACCAGCAAAACAAACACATATTTCAAATTCAGAGAAAGTTTAGATTTATTCTTACATTTAGCACATCCCATTTTCCTAGGTCATGAGCTAATCTGGAAAATGGAGCCGTTAGAGTAGCTCTGAATTTAGCTCACAAAACGTCTTTCATTCCTATTGTACGTAAGCCTTGAAACCAGATGGAAGTGTGTTCTTGGCTGCAACTCAATTTGCTTCTCTCTTCCCTGATTTATGACACAGTGGCAAAGACAGAGCAGCTCTACATGGTTGTGTTCAGAGCACTGCACAGCATCCTAGAGCTAAACTTCACCCTTGCTCCCTGGCTATGCTGTATTCAGGAGTCATTAATCTTGAAAACAGTGGCAAGTCCCAGTGTTTTATGAATTGCTAAAACACTTGGCCCAAATGCATCTTGGGAATGATGTGCTGTAGAGCAAAATAAATCTGCAGTGACTGAAACTGAAGCTGCTGCAGCAACCTTTGTGCTGAATACCACCTTCTCGCTTTACTGACTGCTAAAAAAGGCCAAGTGAATCACAGACATTGTTATTACTGCTTACAGAAACACAGCAGCATGCAGCGGAGCAAAACCAAAAGGTACAAGATGCTAAAGCTGTATCTAATCACCAAGTTATATGTTAAATTCAATGTCAACGAAGTCTTCCCTCCCAATACAGCATTTCATCTGCTTCATAATATAAATAAATTTAAAGGATATTATGAACAATCTTTTGCTCCAAAGGAGAGAAAAGAGCATTTCTGTCATAGATTTTCTGAACAAATATAGAGATAAACCTGTCCATATTATGCTGAATTTTAGAAATGTGTATTATTGATATACAGTGGGTATCTTCCAGAAGAATCATAGAATCA